ACACACACACACACACACACACACACACACACACACACACACACTGTGACTTAGCAGAGCATTTCTGTCTTCTTCAGGTAATCAAGCTTGAGAGCAACGACAAAGAGGCTGACTCTGCCCATGAAGCCAACGTTCCTGAGGAGCTGTGTGGACGCAAACCCCCAGCCCAGTCCTCGAAGGGCTACAATGACAGTCCTGATGTCATTGTAGAGGCTCAGTGTGATGGCAGCGATGCCGAAGATGGAAACAGCCATGCACACAGAACGCTGGTTGATGGCATTCAGAAACTCTCAGTGTGTGTTCCCGAGAAAGGTGAGTATCAGGCGGTGGGTGGCCCGCTGTCTCAGGAAGCTGAGTGGTCCGAGTACTGGGTTTCCCTCTGAGTTGTGCTGTGTGGCCTGGGATCTTCTCTGTCTCTGTGGAGAAGGAGGTCTGAGGCTCATGGCTCCCTGCTGCTCATCTGGTTGGGAGACGAGGGAGGTGGAGCCGAGGGCCCAGGGGTGCTGGTGCCCTGTTCAGGATAGGTTCAGGCCTGTGCTGAAGGGTCCCATTTCCCACCTGGAGCCCACTCCCACCCTCTCTGTGATATTCATGGCGTTAAACTGTTTCTCACTTGAACTTGGACTTTGCTTTGATTCAGCACATTTTAAAGTCTTTCTGCCTTGATGGTGGGGGGAGAGAGAGACCACCTTGAATGCATACAGATTAGATTTAGGATGAACATGTATGAACTCTAAACCCTTTAAGAAGCCAGGGGTCATTTCTATGATAGAAACCTATGCCAGGAGCCCTCAGGACACAAGAAAGCAAATGGAGACCCACTGCTGCAGGGCTGGAACCAAGGACTCTACCTGGTCCCACTAGGGGAGCCTGGAGGCATGTGGAGGCGAGGAGCAAAATGAAACAATACTGACCCGGCCCAGGCTGACGAGATAATCAGCTTATCGGGGAGAAGGTTCTGGCACAGCTACCAGGAAGGACTGGAAGAAATACCAGAAGATTACTAAGGGAGGATGTTTCACAGACACCCTGTGAGCAGGATGGGCGCAGGCCCTTCACGGCTGTCCTGAAGGAGCTGGAATGTTTTCCGGAAGTGACACCTCCTCTAGTTCTGACTCCCCTGCTGACAAGCGGACCCTGAGAGCAGGGCAGCTGCCAGGTGCCAAGTGCTGCTCACACAGGAGTGAACTTGCCCATTGGCCAGTTTGTTGTGAGGGAAGCAGCCCCTGCTCCCCCAGACTCCCCAGACAGTCTCTGTGGCCTCCTTAGACCTGGTGGTCTCGCTGCTCAGGGCCTGGGCTCTGGATGCTGTTCCTGAGTTTCACTCTGCTTCTTCCCATTGGTTCCCTCTGAACACCCTTGTATGCCACCGGCCTCCTCTTTGAGTTCATCGCATTGTCGAATAGCGTCGGTGATGGAGTCCTGCCTTTACTGCCACCAGAGGGATGTGACCACAGGACCAGATCTTTCCTCA